TGAATAAACATTCTCTATCCAGTTACTCTCTGAGTCTGAATTTTTTTACAGCCCACAACACATCACTCTAACATTTTTAGTGGCCTATAGGGGGTATCTCTCCTCAGTGTGGGGAGCTCTCTTGAACAGGAACTCCTTCTTCTGTACAGGGACTCCGTCTTCTGTACAGGGAACTCTCCCCTTTTTCTCCCCTAGGAAACTCTTCTCTGTGCAGGGAGACAGTGTCTATCCCTTGTGCCCTTAAAGATTTGCACCTAGGAAGGTAACTCTCCAAAAATACCTCTGGTCCAGCCTCTGAGGCTGTCAGAGGGCTTTCTTTACTGTCTTTTATTTCAATACAACATGTCAGGCTCATCAGTTAACCTCATCACCAGTATGCAACTGTGGCTCTTTGTTGGTAAGTCCCTGTCCCCTTTATTCCTTTCCCCCTCTCTTTACCCTAAGGATATTAACTTTCACCTGCCAGTAGTGATAGCAGATTCTTTGTAGGACCTGCAGCTGTGCCATGCCCTCCTGGCCATACTCAGCCACACCTCTAAACAGCCAGCCACCATCTAATAACCTTGGGAACTCCCCAGCAAAGTATACCCAGCTTCCCCCATTCACAACAGGAAATGGTGAAGTAATCAAGGCCTTCATATACCCTGCCCTTGAAATCTCAGTTCCTGTACAGCTTTATTTTAGACCTAGGAGCCCACTGCCTGAAACACACGGGGAGCTTTGAATGTACCCCTCTCATTAAAATTATTAAGGCATCTGGGAGGTACTGATCATGCCTTGCAATGATGGTTACTGTTTCCCCAATTCTTGGTATTTTTCCAGGTAGGGAATAGCCTTTTCCAAGATAATGTATCCAAGTAAAGTTACTATACCAATGTGTTATTTTTGTTTCTTTCAAAGTGAGTTAGGAGTTAGACACAGTGTTCAGGTACATAGGGTAGAGTCCCTGAGAGGAATCACTAGGTTCTTCTTTCTGATGAAGTCTCTGCGTTTCTCCTCTATGGTCTCATTAATGTATAGTAGGGACCAGCAGATGCTGTAATAGCTGCGTCACTGGACTCCCATGTAGTCAATCATGGTTCAAGTCCTGGACCTGGTGGCTTAAACTCACACTGGGCAAGTGTGCATGCATGCCCAAGATCCTGAGAGGAGAATGGAGAAGGG